TGTATTGTATTGTATTGTATTGTATTGTATTGTATTGTATTGTATTGTATTGTATTGTATTGTATTGTATTGTATTGTATTGTATTGTAACTGGTAGATATTTAGCAAAAAGGTGCTGTCTTTAATCCCCCTTTTTAATGGAAGGGCAAGTGCTAATTCAACACACATAATAAAGAATAATAACCAGCAAGTTAATTTCAGGTTTATTCAGAATATACTACTTTCTCTCTGCATTTTCATCCACATGACTAAATTACCTTTGCTAGAATCCCATGGGAGTGACCTTAAAGCACAAATATACTACACAAAGAACTCTCCAGAGGAACATATGCATATCTCTTCCTTTCAGATATGGCTAGAAGCATGTGGAATTGAAGACAAACTCACACTTCTTTCACAAAAAAGATCAACCATTATTATACCGAATTTTGTTGACACCAATGTTGGTAGCAATCCTGGTTATCCAGCAAACCGCAAGCTGGGGCTAGTGATACTAAGATTAAATTAGTGAGCAAGGTCAAGGGTCTTGCAGTTTGGGGATTTCCCAATTTTAATTCAGTAATCATTTTTTTCAGGAAGAAAAGTGGTCCCCTCCTGTCTAATCAACAATGCTGAATTCAAATGCTGTACTAAGGCTTGTCAAGGCTAGCTGAAGAAGTTATATTGGTTTGTTCAAAAAAAAATCTAAATCATATACCATGCCTTACAAATTAAAAAGAACAGTAGAATTTGGAGCAAAGTGCAGTGATGTCAAAATCACAACATGTGTGTCATCATGCAGATGTCACTTTAATGTACTTGCATCCAGTGTTTGGCATAAGTACATGTAAGACATGTCGATTGCATGATGATACTGTTTTCATAACATGTTTCATGTTTTGACTCACTTGCCTTACCTAAGGAGTTCGGTAATAACAGATTGCTTCATGCTAAAACAATTGCAAATGCATCTCTGTTTTTATTCTCCCCATTCAATTCTCCTTTGTCATCTCATACCATGGGATGACACCAGCAACCTGATTTCCAAGAAAGCCTCTTGAGAGTTCAAAATTTCTGTTGCTAAGTGAGACATTTGTTAATTGAGTTTAGCCCCATTTAACCACCTTAACCATCTCTTGCTACAGTTGTTAAGTGCCTCATTGCAGTTGTTAAGTTAGTAGCATAGTTGTTAAGTGAATCTGGCTTTCCCATTGTCTCTGCTTGTTGGAAAGTTGCAAAAGATAGGATACTGCAACTGTCGTAAACAGGAACCAGTTGCCAAGCTGCCAAATTTTGATCACATGACCATGATGATGCAACACCACTTCTAAGCGTGAAAAATGATCACAAGTCAGTTTTTTCAGTTCTGTTATAACTTTGAACAGTCACTAAAAGAACTGTTGTAAGTCGAGGACTACTTGCCACCATCACTACCCCCAGTTCCTTTAGATATAGCATGCAGAGCCACAGACTATAACATCCTAGGTCAGTGATGACTAACCTTTTTGCCATTGCGTGCCAAAAGCTGGGTGGAGCATTGGGGGGGGGGGTGTCGTGTGCATGTGTGCCCTCCCATGTGCATGCACATGTGACCCCGTGCATGCATGCACAACCCCCAGACCCTTCCCCCCACCTTTGCCATATGATGGCATGGTGGACCTGTTTTACGCCCTCCCAAGGTTCCAGAGGCTTTCTAGGAGCCTGGGGAGAGCAAAAACGGCCTCCTCTGCCCCCCTCTGCAGGCCCTCCAGAGGCTGTAAACAGCCTCTTTTCTGACTTCCAGGTTGCCCATCTCAAGGAAGCCTCTTGAAGCCTCCGGAGAGAGAAAAATGACCCAACGCACAAACCGGAAGCCCATTCCCAAACTTCTAGTTTGCACGTTGGATTGTTTTTCACCCTCCGGAGGCTTCAGGGAAGCCTCCAGAAAAACATCAAAAAATAAAGGCTGAAATCAGTTGGACAGCACACACAATGCCTCGTATGCCCTAAGAAATGGCGCCGCATGCCACCTGTGGCACGCTTGCCATAGGTTTGCCATCACAGTCCTAGGTTCTTAGGAAGAACTCAGTCTGTATGAGTTGGCCAACTCCAACTAGAGAACTGGCAGCTGCAGTTCTGAACAGATAATAATAATTTATTTTATTTTAGTAAATTTATTTGCCACCCATCTTACATCAGGATAACTCTGGGCAGCTTACAGTGTTAAAAAGGACAAAACCATACAAAGTATATAATACAAATAAAACACTATAAAAGTACAAATTATCGACTTCCGGTTGGGCGGGGCCTGAGGGGGTTGTTGTTTTTAACAGCTCCGGATTCTTGGCTGCGTTAAAATGTCTAAACGGTATCCATCAACTGTTTGGCAGTTTGATTACCACTTCTCCGGGCCAAGGAGAAGAAGGCAAACTAGCTATGTTTGGGCAGCACTCCAATTAACATACACACCCCGAACATAAATCTGGGATGGGAAGTGGGAGCCGCCCGGCAGCATAGTGACTTCTCCATGTCAAGGACCTCTTCTACCTTTTTTTGCAGAATGAAGGCACACGTCCACCCTCAGCTCAAAGACTGATTTATTACTGATTTCAAAGTGGGCAGAACTAATACTGGTAAACTTCTAATTGTATGTATAAATCTTTAACTCCATTTTTTNATCCATCCATCCATCCATCCATCCATCCATCCATCCATCCATCAAAGTTATATGCCACCAAATCACAATGATGCCCCAATCCATCTAGAGATATACTCTATACTGTGGATGTACTATTATATTTTATTTCAACGTGATACTCAGTGCTTAAAAAGTTTTTTCTATAGGTCTCTCATAAATCCTCATATTATATACAGATGTAAAGTTTGATAGAAATATCAAAAGGTTGAAAATATTCAAAGATGTAATTTTGCAAAGAATCAAGTTATCATCTTTTCTTCATTTTTTGTATCCTCAGAGTTCACTGATACAAGCATTGGATTATGGAAAAGATGTTGAAAGTGTAGAAAATCTACTTCGAAAGCATGATGAAATGGAGAGAGAAATTGGCATCATTCAATCCAAGATGGAGGTAAAACATATAATTGATATTTGAAATATAATTGCAATTAATACTAACATAGATTTTGGAAATTTGCCCTGCATATATACTACCTAGAATTGTGTAGAAATCTCATTTCTGTAATCTCAATCCCAAAACGTGGTTCTTTTCAGAAATTTCATTTATTCTGAAGTTTTCGGTAGGGAATCAGAAGAATATGAATACAAGCATACCACATCTAGATTCTTGGGATGACTCGGGGCAAGGCACACAGGCAACATAGTCAGCTGATAGTTCAAACTGCCTGTTTATTGCTCCAATTTACCCCAAAACGTTCCCACGTTTCTGGCAAATCCCAGAGCAAAGTCACACACAAACCTCCAGCATCCTCTGGCTGCATGTAGTCCAGCACAATGCTGTGAGCACAACAGCTGCAAAGCAAGAAATCCAGAGTGGCAAGGGAATAAATCAATGAGTCCAGGAAGCAAAGGAACAGGCAATGGTTTCAGGAAGCAAGAAAAAAACCAACTCCAATCATCAGCAATGGCACACAACGTTCCATGAATTCAGCCTTTTTTCCCAACAAATGCCCCTCCCCAAGCATCTCCTTCAATCTTAGTCCCCAGGTGTGCCTTGTGAAGCGGGGTGAGGTGCTCTTCTCCTAAGTCGTCAGGTCAGCCTGTGCTGTTCTCACCTCTCCACTCTCAGTGCTCGGGGATTAGGAGGGGGTGGTCCTTGCTCATCACCTGAACTCTGTCGCTCCTCATGTTCACTGCTTAGCCTCTCTTAGTCATCCTGCCCCCGTTCCTCCCTGCCTACAAGCCATCTCAATCCTGAAAGGCCCTGGCTTGACTTGGCCTGCTCCTCTCCACATTCCTCCAAAGCCAATGAAACCACCCCTTGATCTCCATCGACTCCAGCTTCAACTCATCTTCCTCCACACATTCAAGCTCCAATGGCGGCATGACAATTCTACATTTAAAACCTTAAGAATAGAATAGTGGAATGAAAATTTTCTTTAAATAACAAATTAAATTGCAGCCTAATACAGTTGTTCACTTTCAGGGACGAGTGTGATTAGTTTCTTTTTTGAATGATCAGAATATTTTTACACTGAGTTCAAAGAATGCCAATTTTATTGTGCCTGTGTTTTCAACATAAAGGTTTCGGTAACTTGGTAAATCAAGGTGTCCTCATCATTCAAACTTTACTACAAGGTCCCCTCTGAGACACTGCCATTCCAATGGAGCGGGAGGGGAGACTATTGGAGTTGCATTCCTTGCATGCTTTTTCTTTTTCTGTAACCATGTGAGATTTAGGGAAGGGGACTATCTTGAAGACATGATGAACTTCCTCCCAGCCAGTTCTACCTAACACCAAGGTCACTGTGTTCTGGAGATGAACTGTTATCAAGCTAACATCTCAGAGTTCTCAAAACACTTTTTCAGACTTCTATTGGCTACTGGTGGACTAGTGAAGGGATGGAGTTTTCAAAGGGGAAGAATAGCTTAATGCTTTGTGCGGGAACTTCGGATTCTGCCTGACTTCTCCGCAATCACTTTCTCTCAGTAAAAGTTCCTTTTGACAACTACTTATTTCAAGAGTCATGCTTTCCTGGGGGGATAGCTGAAGCAGGTCATTTACATTTCGCTTTGGGGAATGTCTCAAAGATGTTTAATTATCCTCATGTTTATACTTATTCCAAAACTGGGTCCCATCAGAGAACTCTAAATGTTACTGTGTGACCCATGCTTTCCTACTGCACCAAAACCAGTTGCAGAATTATAATGGATTTCTTAAGATCAGCAAGACCAACACATTCAAGCAGGAAGACCCCTGTTATCCCACCCATACCTCAGCTAAGCTTAAAGCTCCAAGGCAAAGCCAGCCAGCCATGGGAAACGGGCAATCTACCAATGATTTGCTGAGAAAGCATGTCAGCCAAGCCTTATTCTGTCACAGTAATGAGGCTGGTGAGCAATGTTGCCCATACAGTTTTAATGAAGGATAAATTAAAGAAACTTATTGATGGCTTCCTTTCCCATCCCATCAAGTGCTACCTAACAGTAGGAAAAAAACCAACAATTGTTCTTTTTAACTTGTGGTGGGGCAGGGCTAGGCAAGTGTAGGCAGGTGTCTTGAACAGCAAGTTTAATTTCCTGTCAAGTTGTCTAATCTGATGCTCCACGCCTGTAACCAGTCAACCAAAATCTATCTGTATTGTATACATCCCAGTCCATAAAATGATTTTTATCTTTTAATAGTACAAAATAGGGAAGGGATAACCTGGTGTCCTTTTTATCCCATCTCTGTCCTGCTGCTGTGATGTAGATAAGAGTTAAATCAAGAATAATGAAAAGCTATCCCCTAAAATAGGGGTGTCAAATTCAATTTCATTGAGGGCCGCATCAGGGTTGTGTTTGACCTTTGGGGGGGGCTGGGTGGGTGTGGCCAGGGGGGGCATGGCCAGTTCAGCATCACTCATGTCGGGGGCACCTGTGGTGACCTGAGTGCTCTGCCAGCCAAAATGGAGCTCAGGAGGGCCCGCTTGATCTCCATTTATGCTGGCACAAGGCTGCAGGAGTTAGTCGCAGCTGAAAATGGAGCTCAAGAGAGCTGCATTCAGCCCTCCTGAGTTCCATTTTCACTGGCAGAGGCACCACGGATGAGTGTTTTGCTGTTTCCAGAGTGGCCCCATGGGCCAGATCTAAGCACCTCATGGGCCAGATATGGTCCGCAGGCCTTGAGTTTGATACCCCTGCCCTATGAGATTGTCCATGCTAATAATCCTCTATATACTTTTCATTAATTCTGGAAATGTCTGTGATTTTTTAATCTATAGGTTGAGATACGTTGATTATTGCTAAAGTTCCTCTGCCCTTTTGGTCTTCTATCATATCTTTCTTCTACTTTCTCCCTACCTTTGCCTGCTTTTTGTCCTGAATATTTGTTTTTATAAGTGGCTGATGTTTAATAAATACATAAATATCAAGCTACATGTTTGGCCAGGTGAATTGAATGGTATATGTACTTGCTCTGATTTGGTTACAAAGATTGTGTGGCAAACTAAATGACTCTCTCTCTCTCTCTTTTCATTCTGATAAGCTTTTTGAAGTGTCATCAAAATAAAAGCCTGACACAGAATAGATTTTTAAACTAAGAGTAGCTTCAGAAGGAAAAGCATGTTAACTAGACAGAGTGCCTATTTTTCTTTTAGTCACTGGAACCAGAACTATGTCAAATTAAAAGGAATCCATCTACTATAAGTAACACACTGACTACAAAACAAAAGGAAATGAGAAACCATTGGTTACAACTGCAGAATCAGACTAAACAAAGGTAAATTCAAGGTGCAATTCAAGGTGTTGGATATTACCTTTAAAATGCTACATGGCATAAGATCAGGTGACCTGGGGGACCGTCTCTATATGAGGACATCTGTATGCCCCATTAGGCAGATAGGATAGGCAAGCTCCATGTCCCTTCCTTTAAACATTGCCATCTTATGGGTCCATGGAAAAGGGCCTTTTCCACTGCAGCCCCTGCCCTATTGANTATCTACTTAGCTCTCCTATTATTGAAACCCAAAATTTTGTTCCACTCTAATTGTCAAACACTGTAGAACATCCGTTTCAAACATTTCTGACATTTAAAGTAGTCACGATGGAAAAAAAAATGTTACCCATAATGAAACCAAATAACTTTATACTTCAGTTTGAAACCATATGTCCTCAAATACCTAGGCACAATAGGGTGCAGCTTTAATGACTTCCTTGTTGGGCCCCTGTTGTAATTAAGCATTAAAGGACATATGGCACATCAGTATCTTCAGCAGCAAATTTTCCTTCTTGGGGTTGTTTTCCACGGCAGAAATCACATTCTTTCAATGTAGTTTGGAGTGGAAGTGTAGAATTGCATGTCAAATTCCTCTGCACTCAAGACAAGACAGATCAAGTGAATCGTATGCCTCCACAGTTATGAAAAATAGCTCTCCATTTAATGGCAGAGCCATAGTTTCACCAGGAGATCCTTTTTAGTATGGAAAAAAAATAAATAGTCTATATAACAATCAATCAGGAAAGCTTATTTTAGCATAAAGGATGATATGAGCTCTAGACTACTCAAAAGCCTGCCTCCCTTCATATGCCCATAAATATAAAACACAATAAATCACAGCAAATACAGTTTAAACACAAGGGTTATTAAGAGGAAAATTCGCTAAACAACATCATTCTGAATCTTAAGTATCTGCTGTCTTTCAGATCAAATAATTTACAAGTCTTGCCACAGAGAAGATTGTCTCCACCGAGACTTTGGCGTGTTCAACATCTGGGAAGTAGGTCTTTTGAAACCTAGTTGTTCCTAGAAAAAAGTATGATGTGACCCACAAGTAACCCAGTGGTGGAGCCATCAAATTTGGGGAACAAAGTAAAGCATCATAACCAGTTGTTACCTAACAAAGGGAAACTTGCCACCTACCCACTACAATATTAAAAAAATAGATGTGGAAACTCTGGAAAGAGTGCAGAGAAGAGCAATAAGAATTATTAGTGGGGCGGAGGCTAAAGCACATGAAGAACAGTTGCAGGAACTGGGTAGGTCTAGTCCAGTGAAAAGAAGGATTAGAGGCAGGGGTGGGTTCCTGCCAGTTCTAACCTCTTCTATAGAGGAGGTTCCACAAATCTACAGTGTCGTTTAGAACCAGTTCCAGCTCCCTCCCCCCACCCATCCGGACATCATCAAGATGAAGAGCGAGAGGAGGAATTCTGGGA